GGAGAGGAGGATGGGGAGGAGGAGGGAGGAGGAGGAGGACGGGGCGACCACACTGCTCTATTCAAAACGAGTACCCAACCATAGGAGGGTTGGGAATAAATCTCTTTGCCACTACCCGCCAATCATTGCGACCTGGCGGTTGAGGCGGCTTTTACTTCGCGAATGTTCATTTCTACCTAAACTGCTGTTCCGTAGCCATTTTGGCTCAAGCGCAGCCCACCATGGCTTGAACCGCGCCCGCAAGACGGCCGCGGACGCCCTGGCCAGGGGTGCGCTTCATGAGCGCCGCCGCCAGGGTGCTAGCATGCCTCTCTCTTGTCGTCTATGCGTGCTGGCGCCAGTTCGGCGCTTCTCCTGCTGATCTGGACCCTTGCGACCACCAGCGCTGCCCGAGGGGCACCGTCGCGGCCTGCCAGAGTCCTGCGGAGTGCCCTGGGTGCTTCGAGTGCACGGCGACGGACACCAGCCTCGCGCTGAGCAACGACACGCTGATCGCCTACCCGTCCTCCTGCCAGGGCCACGTCTTCGATGTTGTCCCGTCGCGGGTCGACTGCCTCCTGTCAGCTGGCCGCGGCGCCCTGCCTGCGGGCAGGCGCAGGGAGGCCGTTGCCCTGGGCGCCCTGGGCCCGGACCGCAGCGGCTGCGTCTTCGGCGCTGGCAGCGGCCTGCTTCTGCATGCGGACGTGGCCGCGGCATACGTGATCTGGCAGGGCATCTGCCACCTTGACGCTGACCATGCTGTCGGGCGCTTCCAGAAGACTGCGCACCACGGGCCGGCAGGCCCCAGCCACACCACGCCAAGCAGGACGGCCACCACGACGAGGAGGACTTACAAGGCGTGGGACGTGGAGGTGGCGGCGGCGGCACTCCCCGCCGCTATGCCAGCCGAGGGGTCGCCCACTGTCGGTGCGGAGGCAGGTGAGGCGGCTTCCCCTGCTGCGGACCTGCTCGGGGCCGCGTGGCAGCCGCACAGTGCCGCCGCCGCGCCCGAGGCGGCGCGGCGGGGCGAGGCGCGGGGCCGCGCCGCCGCTGGCTCGTCGGCCGTGCCGGGCCGGTCGGAGCACCCGGAGGGCCGGGGCGCCGCGCCCGTCGGCGGCGCAGGGGGAGGTTCGAGCACCGCAGAGTCAAGCAGTACAACTTTGACCAGCACGACTGAGTCGAGTACCACAGGTTCGAGCACCGCAGAGTCAAGCAGTACCACGTTGACCAGCACGACTGAGTCGAGTACCACAGGTTCGAGCACCACAGAGTCAAGCAGTACCACGTTGACCAGCACGACTGAGTCGAGTACCACAGGTTCGAGCAGCACCGAGTCAAGCAGTACCACGCTGACCAGCACGACTGAGTCGAGTACCACAGGTTCGAGCAGCACCGAGTCAAGCAGTACCACGCTGACCAGCACGACTGAGTCGAGTACCACAGGTTCGAGCACCACGAGTCCAAGCAGTACCACGTTGACCAGCACGACTGAAGCGAGCACCACAAGTTCGAGCACCACAGATTCAAGCAGTACCACGTTGACCAGCACGACTGAGTCGAGTACCACAGGTTCGAGCACCACAGATTCAAGCAGTACCACGTTGACCAGTACGACTGAGTCGAGTACTACAGGTTCGGTCACCACATAGTCAAGCACTACCACGTTGACCAGCACGACTGTGTCGAGTACCACAGGTTCGAGCACCACAGTGCAGTAACGCGTTGACCAGCACGATTGAGCCGAGTACCGCATGTTCGAGCACCACAGAGTCAAGCAGTACCCCTTGACCAGCACGACTGAGTCGAGTGCCACGCGTTCGAGCACCACAGAGTCAAGCACTACCACTTTGACCAGCACGACCGAGTCGTGTACCACAGGTTCGAGCACCACAGAGTCAAGCACTACCACGTTGACCAGCACGATTGAGTCGTGTACCACAGGTTCGAGCACCACAGAGTCGAGCAGTACCACGTTGACCAGCACGACTGAGTCGAGCACCACAGTTCGAGCACCACAGAGTCAAGCAGTACCACGTTGACCAGCACGACTGGGTCGAGAACCACAGGTTCGAGCACCACAGAGTCAGGCACTACCACGTTGACCAGCACGACTGAGTCGAGTACCACAAGTTCGAGCACCACAGAGCTTGCAGTACCACTTTGACCAGCACGACTGAGTCGAGTACCCCAGGTTCGAGCACCACAGAGTCAAGCAGTACCACTTGACCAGCGCGACGGGGTCGAGTACCACAGGTTCGTGCACCACAGAGTCAAGCACTACCACGTTGACCAGAGCGACTGAGTCGAGTACCACAGGTTCGAGCACCACAGAGTCAAGCACTACCACGTGGACCAGCACGACTATGTCGAGTACCACAGGTTCGAGCACCACAGTGTCACGCAGTACCACGTTGACCAGCACGGCTGAGTTGATTACCACAGGTTCGAGCACCACACAGTCAAGCAGTACCACGTTGACCAGCACGACCGAGTCGAGCACCACAGGTTCGAGCACCACAGAGGCATGCAGTACCACGTTGACCAGCACGACTGAGTCGAGTACCACAGGTTCGAGCACCACAGATTCAAGCACTTCCACGTTGACCAGCACGACTGAGTCGAGTATCGCAGGTTCGAGCACCACAGAGTCAAGCAGTACCACTTAGACCAGCACGACTGAGTCGAGTACCACAGGTTCGAGCACCACAGATTCAAGCAGTCCCACGTTGACCAGCACGGCTGAGTCGAATACCACAAGTTCGAGCACCACAGAGTCAAGCACTACAACGTCGTCCAGCACGACTGATCGGAGTACCAAGGTTCGAGCACCGCCAGCAAGAGTCCCATAGCAGACCACGTTGACCAGCACGACTGAGTCGAGTACCACAGGTTTCGAGCACCACAGAGTCAAGCAGCTACCACGTTCGGCCAGCACGACTGAGCCGAGTACCACAGATTCGAGCACCGCTAGAGTCAAGCAGTACCCACGTTGACCAGCACGACTGCAGTCGAGTACCACAGGTTCGGAGCACCACCGGAGTCAAGCATACCACTGTTGACCAGCACGACTGAGTCGGAGTACCGCAGGTTCGAGCACCACAGTGCCAAGCATACCACGTTGACCAGCACGACTGAGTTGAGTACCGCAGGTTCGAGCACTACAGAGTCAAGCAGTACCACGTTGACCAGCACGACTGAGTCGAGCACCACATGTTCGAGCACCACAGAGGCATGCAGTACCACGTCGACCAGCACGACTGAGTCGAGTACCACAGGCTCGAGCACCAGAGATTCAAGCACTTCCACGTTGACCGGCACGCCTGAGTCGAGTATCACAGGTTCGAGCAGCACAGAGTCAAGCAGTACCACTTAGACCAGCACGACTGAGTCGAGTACCGCAAGTTCGAGCACCACAGAGTCAAGCAGTTCCACGTTGACCAGCACGGCTGAGTCGATTACCACAAGTTCGAGCACCACAGAGTCAAGCACTACCACGTTGACCAGCACGACTGAGTCGAGTACACAGGTCGAGCACCACAGAGTCAAGCAGTACCACGTTGACCAGCACGACTGAGTCGAGTACCACAGATTCGAGCACCGCAGAGTCAAGCAGTACCACGTTGACCAGCACGACTGAGTCGAGTACCACAGGTTCGAGCACCACCGAGTCAAGCACTACCACGTTGACCAGCACGACTGAGTCGAGTACCACAGGTTCGAGCACCACAGAGTCAAGCAGTACCACGTTGACCAGCACGACTGAGTCGAGTACCACAGGTTCGAGCACCACCAAGTTAAGCAGTACCACTTTGACCAGCACGACTGAGTCGAGTACCACAGGTTCGAGCACCGCAGAGTCAAGCAGTAACACGTTGACCAGCACGACTGAGTCGAGTACCACAGGTTCGAGCACCACCGAGTCAAGCACTACCACGTTGACCAGCACGACTGAGTCGAGTACCACAGGTTCGAGGCACTACAGAGTCAAGCGTACCACTTTGACAAGCACGACTGAGCGGAGTACCACAGGTTCGAGCACCACAGAGTCAAGCACTACCACGTTGACCAGCACGACTGAGTCGAGTACCACCGGTTCGAGCACCACAGAGTCAAGCAGTACCACTTTGACCAGCACGACTGAGTCGAGTACCACAGGTTCGAGCACCACAGAGTCAAGCAGGACACGTTGGACCCAGCACGACTCGAGTCGAGTACCACAGGTTCGAGCACACAGAGTCAAGCAGTGCCCTTTGACCAGCACGACTGAGTCGAGTAACACAGGTTCGAGCACACAGGAGGTCAAGCAGTACCACGTTGACCAGCACACTGAGTCGAGTACCAGGTTCGAGCATCACAGCGTCAAGCAGTACCCACGGCTGAAAACCACGGGACAGAGTCGAGCACCACTGGGTCGAGCACCACAGAGTCGAGCAGTACCACGTTGACCAGCACGACTGAGTCGAGTGCCACAGGTTCGAGCACGACAGAGTCGAGCAGTACCACTTTGACCAGCACGACTGAGTCGAGTACCACAGGTTCGAGCACCACAGAGTCAAGCAGTACCACGTTGACCAGCACGACTGAGTCGAGTACCACAGGTTCGAGCACCACAGAGTCAAGCAGTACCACTTTGACCAGCACGACTGAGTCGAGTACCACAGGTTCGAGCACCACAGAGTCAAGCAGTACCCCGTTGACCAGCACGACTGAGTCGAGCACCACAGGTTCGAGCAGTACCACGCTGACCACCACGGCAGAGTCGAGTGCCACAGGGTCGAGCACCACGCTGGGCAGCACGACAGGGTCGAGCACCATTGGGTCGACTACCACGGAACGAAGCAGCATCACATTGACCAGCACGATTGAGTCGAGCACCACAGGTTCGAGCATCACAGCGTCAAGCAGTACCACGCTGACCACCACCACAGAGTCGAGCACCACTGGGTCGACTACCACGGAACGACGTAGCATCATATTGACCAGCACGACAGAGTCGAGCACCACAGGTTCGAGCACCACAGAGTCAAGCAGTACCACGTTGACCAGCACTACTGAGTCGAGTACCACCGAGTCGAGCACAACGCTGGGCAGCACGACAGGGTCGAGCACCATTGGGTCGAGCACCACGCTGGGCAGCACGACAGAGTCGAGCACCACTGGGTCGACTACCACGGAACGACGTAGCATCACATTGACCAGCACGACAGAGTCGAGCACCCCAGGTTCGAGCACCACAGAGTCAAGCAGTACCACGCTGACCAGCACGACTGATTCGAGTATCATTGGGTCGAGCACCACGCTGGGCAGCACGACGGAGTCGAGCACCGCTGGGTCGACTACCTTGGAACGAAGTAGCACCACATTGACCAGCACGACAGAGTCGAGCACCCCAGGTTCGAGCACCACAGAGTCAAGCAGTACCACGCTGACCAGCACGACTGAGTCGAGTACCACTGGGTCGAGCACCACGCTGGGCAGCACGACAGAGTCGAGTACCGCTGGGCCGACTGCCACGGAACGAAGTAGCACCACATTGACCAGCACGACAGAGTCGAGCACCCCAGGTTCGAGCACCACAGAGTCAAGCAGTACCACGTTGACCAGCACCACTGAGGCGAGTACCACTGGATCGGGCACCTCGCTGGGCAGCACGACAGAGTCGAGCACCACTGGGTCGACTACCACGGAACGAAGTAGCATCACATTGATCAACACGACAGAGTCGAGCACCTCAGGTTTGAGCACCACAGAGTCAAGCAGTACCACGCTGACCAGCACGACTGAGTCGAGTGCCACTTGGCCGAGCACCACGCTTGGCAGCACGACAGAGTCGAGCACCACTGGGTCGACTACCACGGAACGAATCAGCACCACATTGACCAGCACGATGGATTCGAGCACCACCGGTTCGAGCACCACAGAGTCAAGCAGTACCACGTTGACCAGCACGACTGAGTCGAGTACCACTGGGTCGAGCACCACGCTGGGCAGCACGACAGGGTCGAGCACCACTGGGTCGACTACCACGGAACAGAATAGCATCACATTGACCAGCACGACAGAGTCGAGCACCCCAGGTTCGAGCACCACAGAGTCAAGCAGTACCACGCTGACCAGCACGATTGAGTCGAGTACCACCGAGTCGAGCACCACGCTGGGCAGCACGACGGAGTCGAGCACCACTGGGTCGACTACCACGGAACGAAGTAGCATCACGTTGACCAGCACGACAGAGTCGAGCACCCCAGGTTCGAACACCACAGAGTCAAGCAGTACCACTCTGACCACCACGACTGATTCGAGTATCACTGGGTCGAGCACCACGCTGGGCAGCACGACGGAGTCGAGCACCACTGGGTCGACTACCACTGGACGAAGTAGCATCACATTGACCAGCACGACAGAGTCGAGCACCCCAGGTTCGAGCACCACAGAGTCAAGCAGTACCACCTTGACAAGCACGACTGAGTCGAGTACCACTGGGTCGAGCACCACGCTGGGCAGCACGACAGAGTCGAGCACCACTGGGTCGACTACCACAGAGTCAAGCAGTACCACACGAGCCTTTTCCGCCAGCACTTCCACCAGCATGGCCACTTCTTCAACCGGCACTCTCACAAGCACAAGCCAGACGAGTACCACCACCCTGACATCCACCTCTGTAACGAGCACAGCCCGGACAGGCAGCACAGTAACGTCCACTAGCCACACAAGCACCCTTTCCCTAACAACCATGTTCACGACCACACTCGCCCGTACACTCCTAAGCACAAGCCAGACGAGCACCACCACCTCGGTAAGCGCAATCATCATTCCCAGTGCAACTTCTTCGACGTCGCATACAATCACTACCGTCGCCGCCACCAGCACAGCCGCTTCTTCGCTCAGCACTCTCACGAGCGCAAGCCAGACGAGCACCACCACCCTGACATCCACCTCTGCAACGAGCACAAGCCAGACGAGCACCACCACCCCGACGAACACGACGATCACAGCCACCAGCACGGCCGCTTCTTCAACCAGCACTCTCACAAGCGCAAGCCAGACGAGTACCACCACCCTGACATCCACCTTTGCAACGAGCACAAGCCAGACGAGCACCACCACCCCGACGAACACGACGATCACCGCCACCAGCACGGCCACTGCTTCAACCAGCACTCTCACAAGCGCAAGCCAGACGAGTACCACCACCCTGACATCCACCTCTGCAACGATCACAAGCCAGACGAGCACCACCACCCCGACGAACACGACGATCACCGCCACCAGCACGGCCACTTCTTCAACCAGCACTCTCACAAGCGCCAGCCAGACGAGTACTACCACCTTGACATCCACCTCTGCAACGATCACAAGCCAGACGAGCACCACCACCCTGACGAACACGACGATTACCGCCACCAGCTCGGCCACCTCCACGACTACCCGCTCACTCACGAGCGCAAGCCAGTCGAGCACCACCAGCCTGACGAGCACAACCAGCACTTCCAGCACAGCTTCCTCGACGACACAGACAACCACTACGACCCCGCTTTATTCCTTGAGCAGCTCTTTGTCTTTCGACAGCACAGGCACGGCAACTCAGGTGGAAGCTGCTGTGGTCGCAGTTTTGACTGCAACATATTCAGTGGCCGAGGACATTATGACTGTGACTGTCACGGCGGGTACTTCGCCCATCGTGACCCGAGAGCTCGCAGGCTCAACCACCAGCTGGCAGGTAGATTTTATGATTGTTGCAGATGAGGGCACTGTCGACCAGGTGTACGCAGTCGCTGTCAAGATGTCTGCAAACAGTACAAACTCCAGTGCCCTCGAACGCTTTGGGTCGGATCTGGGCAGCGCCTTGGAAAGTTTGAACGTGACGCTAAATTCGACAACCCTGGCGTACACAGACCCAGTTAAACTGATAATTACCGCCACCGTGACAACAGTAAGCACGAGCACTACCCAGACGAGTACATTCACCAGAACACTTACAAGCGTAAGCCAGACGAGCAGTGTCACCTCAACCACCGGCACATTTACAAGCATAAGCCAGACGAGCAGTTTCACCCTGACCACCACCGCTCATACCAGCACGGCCACCTCAACCACCAGCGCATCTACAAGCGTAAGCCAGACGAGCAGTTCCACCCTGACCACCACCGCTCATACCATCACGGCCACCTCAGGCACCAGAACTCTCACGAGCACAACCTCTGAAACGGGCACAACGCATAGCACCACCCTGACGAGCGCATCCGAGACCAGCTCAACACCGAGCAGCACCTTGACGAGCGCATCCGAGACCAGTATCACAGGGAGCAGCACCCTGACGAGTGTATCCGAGACCAGCACCACAGGCAGCAGCACCCTGACGAGTGTTTCCGAGAGCAACACCACAAGCAGCAGCACCTTGACGAGTGCATCCGAGACCAGCACGACACAGAGCAGCAGTGTCAGTTCTGGGTCTTCGACTTGGACCACGAGAAGCAGAACCACTTCGACCACCATGAGTACTACCGAAAGCAGCAACACTCCGACCACTGTGAGCACTGCGAGCATTCGGGCGCCCCCTCAAATAATTGGGTCGATCGGCTTGCTGTTCGTGGATCCGGAGGCGGTCCGGAACGGCCCAGATGCATTGAAGGTGTTGAACTCAATTGGCGCTACGATCGCTCAGGTGGTGGGCACGTCCGCGAGTTACGTCAGCACCTGGTTTGCGCAGTCTCGAAGGCTCCGGGCCCCTACGCGCGGGCTCTCCAGCGGCAGCCTTGTGGTGGAGTACAGCGTATCTGTGCCAGCGGATGCTCCGGCCGACATCCCGGATCTTGCCGCCATGCAGGCGTCCTTGGACAGTGTGGATATCAGCTCTTTCACGTCTTTGTTGCAAGCGAACATCGACGTGGAGGTCGGGGACGGAGTGTACGAGGTCGCCGTGACGGGAATCACGGCAATCGCCATCAACGTGCCGAGCGTCACCTTGCCAGAGGATACAATCGACGCTGGTCTCGAGGACGAGGCCAATTCGATTATTGTCGGCATCGTCATTTCAGGTGTGGTTTTTATCGGGTGCGGGTCTTTGCTTCTGTTGCGAGGCTGGCGCTCCCATCGTCGGCAAGCGGGGGATCATGTCAGGGACGCGGAGGTCCCGGGGATCCCGGTGGGCCCGTTGGGCGCCGCCGGGTCGGCGGCCAGCGCCAGGTCCGAGAAGCTCTCCGTCCGCTTCGAGGGCGACAAGCCGCCCGAGGGCGACCCCAGCTCGGCGAACGCGGGCTCGGCCAGCGCTGGAGCACAGGCCGCGGCTGCGAGGCCGCCCGCTGGCGTGGGCCCCCGCCCACGCCAGCGCTCGCCCAAGCCGCGCTCGCCCACGCCGCGCCCGAAGAAGCGCGGCAAGGCCCAGCAGGTGGCCGACGCCGGCGAGGCCGCGGCGGGCCCGGGCGGCGCCGCCAGGCAGCCTTCGCAGCGCGCGCTGGTCGAGGACCCGGATGAGATGCCGTTCGTGCAAGCCTCCAAGTGGATCGTGGTGCCTCAGCTGGGCCGGCTCTTCTCGGCGGCGGCGCCCGACTGCGACGACTCGGAGGGGTTCGTCGACGACAGCGACTCCCTGGACGACCAGTGCTCCATTGTGTCCGTGGACCTCGGGCACCCCGCGGACGAGGACCGCTCCGTGGTCTCCGTGGGCGGCAGCCGCTCCGTGGTCTCCGTGGGCGCCCCGTCGCTCGACGGCGCGTGCCCCGCGGCGCACGCCGGCAGGCGGATCTTCGGGCTGGACCCCTAACCCTGGTAACTCGCTGTATATAAAAACATGACATCGTTTAACAAGTCAGGAACTCAGGAGCACAGCTTGGTGCCTCGCAACTTGGTGGCACCACTGGCGGGCCAGCAGGTTCCTGAAATGCGTTCGCCATTTTTACTGTATTGTGGCGCAAGACTTGTGTCCTATTTTATTGCATCATGGCTGCTGGTGCAGGCAGTGTTTTTCGTAGCGGACAGCGCGCCGGTGAGCGCCCGCTAGGCACTGCCAGTATTTCGGTGTTTCACTACTTGTGTTTTTTGTTGCCATTGCGGTGTCGTTGCAAATCAGTAGCCGGCACGGCCAATAACACTTGGCATTTTGGTTGCATCGCTGTAGAGGCTGCGATAGCTGTCGGCCTTGCCCAGAGGAGGACGATGTGGAGCACAAGGAGCAGGAGTAGGAGTAGGATAGAAAACTACTTAAAGCATGCAAGGCAGCAGCAAGCATTCGAACGCGCCCCAACGAGGCGAATGCTCGATTGAGAATCTTGTAGCCAGTATATGTGAGCTGTGTTGCTGCAAAGCGCTGTATTGATCGTGGCAGCTTCCGCAAGCAATGCCTCGCAGACTGGCCGACTGGCGCTGCGACTCTTATCTCAATATGTAACTTGTTCGCTGTGGTTGCCGCCATCCTTGGCCAATCTAGCATGGGCCCAACTGCGGCATACTAGATAGAAGCCAGGGTGGGATTCCATGGGCCCTGGCCATCCCTTGTGGGCCAATAGAGCTCAGGGGAGAGGCCCCGCATGCTCCCAGCCCGATGGTCTCTCCGCGGGCTTGATTGAGCCTTCTCAAGCCAGCTCCAATTTTCTCATCGTACCATCGGTTTGATGGCAGTATCGTATAGGAGGTGGCAGGCTCAAACAAAAAATCTACCTAAACTGCTGTCGACACAATCTAACCATAGAGAGAGAGGAGGGGAGGTGGGTAAGGTTCTGCAACGTGTGTCCACAGCTTTCATCCTGTCGCTTTGCCTTCCAGGACTTGGTGCTGTTTTCTTGAAAAAATACACATGTCGCATTGCTACACTGTGCGCGCAGAGGCTTGATCATATTAGGCTTACCGTGCTATCGACGTGTGTTTTCGCCACGGCATGCCAAATTTGCAATACACTGTATTCGTGACGTGAGCCCTGCGCAATAGTTCTTGCACCCGTGGTTGCCTCCGCAGCCATGACGATCTGGGTTCCCCAACAGAAGTGACAACGCCAAGCCTGATACAAGCTCGCACTACTCTCACTGTGGCTTTGAGCGCGTTGCCGACGCGCACTTTCTTAGCATCAAGAGGAGGGAGGTTAGGAAGGCCAGTGGGGAACTGACGCGATCGCAGGGGACCGCCAGGCGATCCCAATTTGCCTCCCCGCGCTCCTGAACAACTGCTGCATGGCGTGCCAAGATGGACATAGCGCGCGACAGGCGCCAGACTGAGCACAGCACGCACCACTCTCTCTCGGGTCAAATCCTGCTCAGGCGAGTCACGAAGCTCCCAGGTCCTGGCCTGCCAGCCTCGCCTTAGCAAAGCCTTGGACAGGCCCTTGGCACCCGCGAGCAGCTCCAGGCACAGCGGCTGGGCTACCCCAGCCCGATCTCCTGGCACCGGCGTGCAAAGCCGCCCACCTGCCCTTTGGACAGCGCCACCTCCAGCTGCGCGTCGGCCTCGGCCAGCAGCAACTGCTTCCCACGGTCGATCGTTGCAAGGCGCCTCATCATTCGGGAGCCGTTCTCGTAGCCGCGCACGCTGAGGTCTGACATCCAGCGTCCTCGCCGCTTGATGGCTTTCAGCGTTCTCGTCTTGGTCAGCCAATCGTGCGAAGGCCCCGAGTGGCGCAGGATTTACGGCGTCAACTCCCAGCTGTCCAGCCCCACTTTCGCCGCCGCTTCCATGAATATGGCATTGAAGGCCGCGCCCGACCACAGAAGGAGGCGCTGCACCGGCTGGAGGCCGTGCGCGAGCTCTTCCACCAACAGCCCTACACGTGCTGTCCAGCAGGATGGAGTCGTTGAAGCCCTTGGTCTCTGTGGCCACGCTCTCTTCCTCTGGCCGCAAAACCAGCGAAGTGTAGCTGTAGTCGCCTCCTGCCGCTGGCTGCGCGGGCACCACGTGGTGCGCTCAGAGCGACAGCAGCTCGCCTGGCCGCAGGTAGGCGTCCGTCGCGAGCACCACGCCGAGCGCGGCCCGCCGCTGGTTCATGAACACCAGCGTCACCGCGATCGCCGCCACGGCCGCCCACGGCGCCGGCGCCCGCGTCACCCGCGGCATCAGCCGCCGCTAGCCTTGCAGCGCCCGCGCCACGCGTGGCAGCTTCAGCAAGCGCCCCGCATGGTGTAGCCGAGGATCCCGATGCCCTATGGCTGCCAGCAGCTTGGCCTTGCTGTTCGACGGTTCCTCGCCTCCTCCGCCTCCGCCTCCGGCTTGTACGCCGCGAACGGCGGCCGGGCCTTCAGGGAGAGCTCGGGCGCCTCCTAGGATCAAGTAGAAGGCGATGATGAGGGCGGGGGGGAGGGAGGGAGAGGGGAGAAGGGGGAAGGCACCATACCAGGGGGACACACCAACCACCACACAAGACCAAAAACGCACGCAAGAGAACCAGCATAAACGAGCCACGTCCGGCAAACGACGGCGACGGGAGAGATCGTCCGTGCGGAAGGGGTGTAGGTGACACAATTTCACACCACCAAGCTCCCACGGCGCAGTAAACTACGTCATACAAGTCATACAAGTCGGCCGCGTAGCCAGCCACGTGCATCTGATACAAATCTCCAGCAGTTCGTACAAGTCTCACGACTCCACTGCCATTTTGAATTTTCATGCAGTACAAATCCTTGGGAATCTCATGCAGTTCGTACAACTCTCACGAAGCCACTGCATCCTATGGATTCTCAGATCATGCAAGGAGTCCACATGCAGTATTGAATTCTCATGCAGTTCTCCAGCCTCTGAGGAGCTCAGCGGCCAGGCGCGGCCGCCGCTGCTGCGCCCGGCGCCTCCGCCCCACCCGCCGGGCCAGGCGGCGCGGCCGCCGGGCCATCGTCCGCACCACCACCTTCGGCCGCAGCGGGGCGCGCCAGCACGCGGCCGGACGGCCTGGGACGACTCAGCGCCGCCGCCTGCACCACTCCACCCCGGCCGCCCGCGGCGCCCTTGCCGCCCTTGCCGCCCTTCTTGCCTTTGGAGGAGCCCTTCGAGCCCTTGCCCTTGCTCTTGCCTTTGCCGCCGCTCTTGCCGCCATCGCCTCCCTTGCCGCCCGTGCCGCCCTTCCCCTTGTTCTCCGGGCGCTCGAGGTAGAGCAGCACCCTGGGGCGCTCGGGCTCATCTGGGTTCCGGGTCTGCTGGCCCCGCACAACCAGCCCTGACGCCCGACGCATCAGGGCGTCGAGTGGCCGCAAGGCACTCTCCACCAGCAAAGACTCGGTGCCGAAGGCCATCGTGGTGACGAACGTGCCAGGGATTCTCTCCCAGTTGGCCCCGTCCTCGCTCCACTTGCTCTGATCCCAGACCCCCGTCACTAGGCCGGGCGTGGCAAGGACGCGCCAGAGGCTGCGCAGGGCGCTGGCGCTCTCGCTCTCCACAACGCCGCTCATGGGCTCATCCAACGGCCACGCAACCCCGAGGTGACGCGCGGCCTCAGAGCACACCGCCTCAGGCCAGCCCTCGCGAAGCTCCCTCCAAAGCTGCTGACCATGCTTGTTCATATAGAACTGGTCGGCCACCGTGAAACCTTCACAGACCAGCACAGTCGAGCGGAGGACAACCTTGAGGCTGGACTCGTGACGCGCCGACGCCCGCTCAAGGCGGTCCAAGCGCTCCTCGTGAGACGCGAGCGCCTGGTCGACCTGGGCCCTGCGAGCGGCAGCCATCGCGATGGCAGGCCGGGGGAGGGCAAGCGCGCCTGTTGTCTTTGAGGCTGCGGCGACGAGCAGAGCAATGAGGCAATGGGACAACGATTTCGCATCATGGACAGACACGTGCGCACACAATGTGTATGGCGGTCGGCAATGGGAGGGGCAGGGCCGGGGGGGGAGCAAGGAGGAGAGGGGGAGGGGAGGGGGAGGGGGGGAGGAGAGGGGGAGGGGAGGGGGAGGGGAGCGGGCGGGAGACAGAGCGGGCAAAGCAGGAGTACCGACCACCACCACCGAGGGGTACACGAGGGAGGACACAGGAGAATAACACACACACACCACCACGGCTTCCGCATATCACAAACTCACACCATGCAACTGCCCCGGCTGCGAGGGCGTGGGGGCGGCGTGACCTGCGTCAGTAGGCGCAGGTCTGGCACATGACGGAACAGTAGAACCGTCTTGCCGCCCCCGCGACGTCACGTAGGATCGCCGCCTGGCACAATGGGTGCAGCCACACGAAACACAGACTGCTGCGGGAAACCGTTGACCACCCGAGGGAAGGAGGAGGAACACCGCCAGCTTTCGATCCAACACCCGGCAAAGAGACGCGGCGTCGAGGGAAGGCCCCCGGGGGGCCACCGCCAGCTTTCGATGTAACGCCAGGCAAAAACGCGGCCTCGAGGGATGGCCTTAACCGTGGCCCGCGGGGCGCCGCAGCGCGAGCCTCAAGTTAGCTCCCGGGCCAGGATGCCCACGACCTGGAGCGCGACCCCGGGCTTTGGCTGCCGCGCCCCTCCCGCGCCCGGCGGCCATCACCTTGGCTCCGCCCTTGGCTTTCGGTTTCGCTTTTGGCGCGACTGGGGCAGCCACAGGGGCCACTGCCGCGGGCGCCAAAGGATCCGGGGGGGCCGGCACGCGCACGCCGCGACACCATTTCTCATGTACGCCACAAGGGCGAGAAAGCATACCAGGTGGATCAGTGGGCTCAAACACCTTACCACATTTGGCACACGTTCTATTACCCCTTCCTCATACTCCCTCACCCCATTACGTGTGAATTTCACATCAGAAAACAAAGCGAAATCCCATTTCCTACCATTGAGCACTGAGAGGACAGCACCAATCTTGATGGCAGGGCTCTCGTTGCCACGTTCTGTCCCCAGCTTCCGCGTGTTCCAGGTTCCACCTCGGAAAAGCCATGCTGTGTGCGCCTTTCGGAGACGTCCCTCCCGCCGTAGCATGGCAAGTTTATGCATGGCACGGCACTGCATAGCACGGGAAGCCTTCTTATTCTTGATCCGCTTGTGAGCCCGGATCCTCGCAACACGTCGCTGGCACCGAGTTGTGCCTGAAGGAAACGTAGGGCCATCTTCAGACACAGTCGCCGAGACGCCTGTCAAAGTGAGCACCGACACCGACGCGCGTTGGCCAGACGAGTCGTCGGTCTGCCCCCCAGGACCCGCGACTGGCACCGAAGCCCCAGCCGGAGCCGAAGCCCCCACGGAGGAAAGAGCCGAAGCCCCAACCGCCTCCGCGGCGTGATTGTCCCGGGGAGGGTGTGCACTCCCGCCCCCCCACCTACCAGACGGCACAGGGGATGGCCGGCCCGAACACATCCAAGAGAACCCAGCCACGGCGGCAATCGACCATACCCCTCCAGAAGCTCCAGCAGGGGCACCCCTAAAGGGGTTGGGGTTAGCCTCATCCATGGCCCCCACCACCCAGAACAAGTGAAAGAGCACAATAACAAAGACACCTAGCGATGGGTTGGGTAGGACACACACCCGAGAACACATAACAAGAACACAGACAAGTAGAGGTGGGGAGGATGAGTTTACCGACGAGCGGCCACGTGGAGGCCTGTGCACCTGCTCGTCCATGTACTCGACCAGCATGTCCATGTACTCGACCAGGGCCATCTCCAAGTCTGCGTCGCTCTCCACCTCGAGACCGTGAGTCATGCAGCAGGCGTCGAACCGCGCCAGCTTCCTCTCATAGTCCTGCTTCGTCTTCAGCGTGACGCTCTCCTCCTCGAGGGTGGTCAGTCCAC